TCAAAAACAGATAGGCTTTGGACAAGAAAGAACAAAAAGGGAAGTGCATTTCATGAAGGCGAGGCTTTAAAAAGAGAAAAACAAAAACACAGGTAGGACACTAAGTAGACCTTCAGAAGATTTCCAGATGAGGACCTTGGAGGTCATCTTGAGTGAGCTAAAGCAGGTAAAATACCTGCATGAAAAAGAGTTTTCTTACCAGGAACTAATTAGAAAATATAAGGAAAATAACAGCAGGAAAAGTCTGACAGTACAAATTTTACACATCATATAGTGGATTGGTTAATAGTAAAACTTGAAATTTCTTAGAAAATTTGTATTATTTTTATTTAGAAAACAAAATACTGCATCTTTCTTTCTACAAGTGGAGAGTAACAGGGCATTGTATTACAAATGGATTCTTTTTCCTAACAGCATCTACATTTAGTGGCAAAGCCTCATCTCCGATAGCCTGTGAACACTGCTCTATCTTACACCTGCTACTTTATCTTATATATTATGTTACATTTAAAAGTTCAATACTTTTCAAATGTGTAAATCATCTCCATTTTAGATTCAGAATAAATTATGGCAGAAATGGTAATACACGTGACGTAAGAGACTTTAACCTGCACTGGTATCTAAACTTTAATTTTAAGGACAAACATATACATGATCTCTAAAGTACTTTTATATTAAAAAATAAAAAGTATGGCTGAGTGCGGTGGCTCACACCTGTAATCCCAGCACTTTGGAAGGCCGAGGCGGGTGGATCATGAGGTCAGGAGATCGAGACCATCCTGGCTAACATAGTGAAACTCTTGTCTCTACTAAAAATACAAAAATTAGCCGGCCGCGGTGGCAGGCGCCTGTAGTCCCAGCAACTCGGGAGGCTGAGGCAGGAGAATGGCGTGAACCTGGGAGGAAGAGCTTACAGTGAGCAGAGATCGTACCACTGCACTTCAGCCTGGGCGACAGTGAGACTCTGTCTCAAAAATAAAATAAAATTTAATTTAAAAAAAAGGTATGCGATTTACAATCTACGTATAATATCCATCGAACATGCAATCAACCAACCACCTACTGTGCTGTAAAAAATTAAAACTACATTTTTCATAAATCTTTAACAGAGACAACTGAAAAACACATACTGATTATAGACATACAAATGCAAATTACACACAATCTCAACAGTAAGTAGCTCTCCCATTTCAAGAATATGAAGTCCAGGAAATGGATGATACAATGATTTGTCAAGTCAACTGGGTATACTTCCATTAGGGAAAAAGTCAGAATCAAGCAAAAATCAAAATCAGACAAGACGACTTAACAAGACAGAAAATAAGACAGCAATCTGACCCTATAGCAAGTGAAACAGTAAACACGGTACTTTTGTAAACAACTAAAAGTCATCATACTACTGAGTAGTTTTCTTTTCCACAGGCTGTTTCTGTTCAAAGAAAATAGTTCCATAGGCATGATGGTTCTTACTGGGGCAATAAGAATGTTCTAAAACTGGCTTGTGATAGTTGTATCACTCAGTTAAGTTACTAAAAATTACTAAACTATAAATAAACTCTTCTTGGACTTTAGAGTAAATCAAAGCAGTGGCATCCAACTATACTAGTAATCCCTATATTTTTCACCACTACACTTTTGCAGTTTTAAAAAACACACAAAAAGTTTCAGCTATGTCCTTGAATCAGGTAGCACAAATTAATTTTTAAAAATTTCAACCCTTAAGTACTAATCTTTCCAGTCTTCCGTATGACTAAATGGCAAGTTTTCATAAAGTGCTTCTGCTGTGTATGCACTTCACTGTCTTGGTTGTCCTTAAGGAAAAGCACTTGTGCAACTGAGAAACAAGATAAACCAGCTGCTTTTCTAATAGAACACTATTTTTACTTGAAAGAATGGCAGACAAACCAAAGCTATTCAGACATTCAGACTTGGGAATTTGGCAGACATTTTCTAGAAAATGAAGTGAGCCTGTTCTTCAAGAAAAACAAATGATAAAAATTAGAGCTTTCAAGAAAAACTAGAATTTTGGAAAATTTGTATCAGCCACTGGGAGCTTGAAAGTTTTCCAATACTTAACCATTTCTATGGGTTTGATAGTGATGTTAATGAATGTGGTTTTTCTGGTGTTGTATAATGTCAACACACTGGAATACCTGCATAACTCACTGGACCAGTAAGTATTTCCCAAACCACCAATGAATGATACTATAAAATCATGCATGGGTGAAAGATCCATTCCAAGTGCAAGATAGCTCAATACAGTCTAGAATACCAGTATAGCTTAGGATCCCAAAAAGTTTAATGATATGGTTTCAGATTCTACATTACAAACAACCTTTTAAAAACTACTTTTTGTTGAGTTTTATTGTATCTGTACTTCTTATTGAGTTTTACTGTATCTTCAAAAAAGAATATTCACAATTATCGGAAAAGGATATTATTAATAAAACACACCTTTCTTTTCCAATTACATGTGTGAAGCTAGGTTTTTCATCTTACAGTTAAAACACATCACAACAGACTGCAAGAAAGCAGGCATGAAAACTCAGTTTTCAATTAACCCAGCAACTGAAGGCCTGCAAAAATGTAAAGCAATGTCACTCTTCTCAATGATTTTGTTTTTAAAGTTACTTTCATTAAAATTCTATTATGTGTTAAATCTAATCAATTTACCATTCACTAACGAGAAAATTTTTTATTTGTTTTGATTTTTAATACAGTTAAGTCCTTACTTAACATAATTGGCATGTTCTTGGAAGCTGCAACTTTAAAACCAAATAACACTCTTTCATTATGAAGCTGATGAGAAAAAAAAAAAGGTTTCATTATTCATTGTTTTGCTTACAGTTGCATTTTCCAAGAACCTAGAGACAATATTGAGGACTTACTGTATATACCAAGAGATAAAACCAATGCAAAGAAAATTACATTCAATAATTCTTTTTTTTTTGAGACAGAGTTTTGCTCTTGTTGCCCAGGCTGGGGTGCAATGGCGTGATCTAGGCTCACTGCAACATCTGCCTCCCAGGCTCAAGCAATTCTGCCTCGGCCTCCTGAGTAGTTGGAATTACAGGTGCCGACACCACGTGGGGCTAATTTTTGTATTTTCAGTAGAGATGGGATTTCACCATGTTGACCATGACTGGTCTCGAACTCCTGACCTCAGGTGATCCACCTGCCTCAGCCTTCCAAAGTGCTGAAATTACAGGCATGAGCCACTGCGCCTGGACTACATTCAATAATTCTTAATAGTGTAAATGGGTTCCAAGAACAAAATGTTTAAGAACCATTGGCTGGTAAAAATACTCCAAATATAATTTTAATGTCATTTTTCTCTTCCTTCCAAATATCCAGTGGCTTTTCAGTGTATATCTAATTAGAACGTTTAAGGAGGAAGGCTTTACTGGATGTTCAAATAGGGGTTTTTTTGCCCCACAGAGTGAGGATATATTCCCATATGCACACACTTTTTAAATACTGACCAATACATTCATCAGGACCCAGAATTCTTTTAATGGAATCATTTAAAAACAAAGCAAAACCCCTAGGATGCCTCCTTCAGTTAACCGATCTGATAATGCCACATACGGTATTTCAGATTTTGGAAGATACCAGCCAAGTGTATAGCATTTCGTTATGATTTAGAATTTTTATTATTTCATTTGTTATATGAAGCCATTTTCATTTTTACAAGATAAAACATAATGAAACTATAAAATCTTCATTTAGATGAACAAATAACAACAATATGAACTAAGAGTGTTAATGTAGGGCTGGGCCCAGTGGCTTATGCCTATAATCTCAGCACTTTGGGAGGCTGAGGCAGGTGAACTGCTTGAGCTCAGGAGTTTGAGATCAGCCTGGGCAACACAGTGAAACCCTGTCTTTACAAAATATAGAAAGATTAGCCAGGCATGGTGTCATGTGCCTGTAGTACCAGCTATTTGGGAGGCTGACGCAGGAGAATGGCTTGAGCCCAGGAGGTAGACGTTGCAGTCAGCTGAGATAGCGCCACTACACTCCAGTCTGGGCAACAGAGCCAGACATTATCTCAGAGAAAAAAAAAAAAAGTATTGCAAAATTTGCCCAATAATACAGTCAATACAATATAACTCATACCATGAAGTGATTGCTAAAATTGCTATTGTAATCTTAGGCTATATTAGTAAAAGCGTATTTACAAGTAATAGGAGCTAATATTGCCACTGTAATCTATAAAGTTTAGATGACAATCCTAGAATAAAATTTCAATTATGAAGATCTAGATTGAAAGAATATGAATAGAAATTATCTAAAAAGGCAATCAAAATACTAAAGGGTCTGAAAAACTATGTTACTTAATAAAACTAGAGATATTTAGCCTGAAGGAAGCAGAGAGGAGTAAAAAATTATCTTAAAACATCTAAAGAGTTTCCATGAAGCAGTCTTGTTTTCTGTCATTCCAAACAAACAAGAAATAATGGGCAGAAGTTTCAGAGGTATTTGAGTTCCACTGGAAGAGTAAAGTTTACAAATAATTTCTAGCTAACAAAAGAATGGTCTAGTTCATAAGCAGTGAATTTCTCATCACCAAAAGATTAAACAAAAGCTGGTTGACAGAGCAAAGATGATATAAAAAGATTTGCAGGATGCACATATTCCTTTCAAGTAGTATGGCCTAGAGCCTTATTTCTAAAACTTGGATGTTTACATGAGTTACCTGGGATCTTATTAAAATGCAAATTCTAATTTAGTTCTAGGGTGAGTCTTGAGATTCTACATGATGCCTATGCTGCTGGCCCAATGACCACACTTTAAATGGCTTAGGGTGCACTTTGTCAAACAATTTACTTAAGAGTCGCATGCTTTTCAATAACAAGCACATCTACTACATGAAGGAAAAAAAACAAAAAACAAAACAACAGGTGACAACAAATTCAAATGACAGAGAATTTTAATTTTAAACAATTCCATATAATTTTATCTAAACAGAGCCAAAATTACACAGTGAAATAACTTACTGTGGCTGATAAAGGAAGAGATCAATAATATTATCGCGACCTTTGGGGTGATTGAAGAAAACAAACAGAGACCAGTGAATGAGCCATGTTCTCTGTTGAAGAGACTGAAGTGGAGAACTCACAGACTAAAGGATTTAAAAATGTACACATAAAAAATATTAATATATAAGAAAGAGGCAGGACAAACATCACTAACTTCAAAACTGTAATTAAAAATGAGCCCTTCTAAGGCATGCACGAGGGTCATTATGATCAATGTCTGATCCCCTATGCCCTCTCTCTGCATGATCCTCGACATTCCAAATTATTACCGTTTGTAGAGACAGATTCAGTAACGTCCACTGAAGACGTTCTAATTTATAAACTCTAACAGAAGTTATAAATTATAATCATTTCAGAAAACATTTTAAAAGCAAGAATTAAACTGAACATTTCATAGTAAGTGGTTTAATTAGATAATTGTAGATGAAAACTGTCTTCTGCATAGGACTTTCAATAATAGCTGGCACTAACAGCATAGTGTCATTTTGACTGGCATAGAAAAAAAGGACACAGTAACTGTATAACAGAAATGAAGGCTACGTTTTTTTCTCCAAGAGCCAAAAGAAGTTTGACAATTTCGTTCAAGGAGAGTCAAACTAGTTAAGCCACTATGATTTTTGTAAGGTCAACAAAAGCTAATTTGAAATTTTTTTTTATTCCCAAAATGCATAGTGTTTTTCCTCATCAGAAAGGGTGAAGGATACACAGATATTTCAGACAATAACTGTGAAAAAGTCAAACTCACATTATTATCTATGGTCTCTTTTAACCGTGTAAGGTCTTCCATGGCTGCATCCCAATTCTGCATTAAGATTTCAGAGGCCAGCTTTCCCCAGAGTGAACTTAAAGCATTTCTATCTGTTGCTGGAACCTGTTTAAGAAACCATAATTAATTATATTGTGAATATTCTTGAAGAATAAACTTAATGTATGTTCTATACCCATGTATCCCTCTAGCCTACTAAAAGACCTATAGCTCTCTAAACAAAACTGTAGTTATCTAAGTCCTTATTGGATCACACTGGTTTGTTTCAAAAAACCTTTGCTAAAAATACTCAGGTCTTCAATATACAGTCTAGATAAGAAAATAAAAAATAACTTTTATAACTAGGAAACCGCAGCATCATCTTACTATAACCCACTTTAGATAATTTATACACAACTAATCAAATTTCAGGCACCTAAAACTTTAGAAACCAAGTTAGATTCATATGTAATTTGTCGCTAGAATGAAGATGTGGAAAATCAAGACTCGTGAGTCTCATTTACAATGTAATGAGAAATTATGTACAGAACCAAAAAATATTTCCAAATTGTGACACAAATGAAGTCAGTATGGAGAGAGGGAGACAGGGAAAAAAAAACAGGCCCACTGATCAACAATTAATAGTTACTGAAGGATTATGTACTGAGCAATACAAGTTGGTGTTCTCCTGTAATCCCAACAAAAACCCTCTTTTTTTTATTCCCATTTTCAAGAGGTGAACTAATACATAGAGTGTAACTTGCCCCAAATTACACTTTTAATCATGAAACCTATAAATTTTACACCACAGTCTTAACCCAAAAAAAGAGGGGACTAAGGGCCATCCCTACCTCTTCTATCCACAGTAAAACAGTCACAAACTCAAAACATTCATGATGACCAGGCTAATAACAATGAGCAAAGCTGGACTCCCTCAAAACAAAGCAGTAGAAGTAGGTAAACTGACTCTGAACCAATCAGATGTGCTAAAGCAGTAGAAACAAGTAAGGGTAGTAGACGGGGAGCATCTCTACACCTCAAGATGAAATTTCAATTTTAATTTTTTACAGAAGCACTTTTACGTAATAGTATAAATATCAAGTAGATATCATAACTACAAGTTAAATTCTATGTGCAGGATCAGAAATCCGATCAAGAATTCTGTCTCTACCACTTAACAGCTAGTTTGTATTTTAGCTTCCTCACTGCAACATGGGGATAAAACCCACCTCAGTTGCATAGTTTAAGTGACATGAGACATACAGAGATTACAATTATCACCTGATACAGCGTAAGAACTTGGTAAATATGAGTTATTAAAATGATGATGAAAATCATCGCAGAGATAGGTATACATATTTACATATATTTACATATATATTTACATATGTAAATTTACATTTATCTATATACATATTTACAGATATACAATCTAAACACTGGGGACCACAATACAAACTCAGTCTATATTGAGATTCTTCCTTTCAAATGTACTAAATAACATTTGGCACACTCTAAGAGCAGGCAAATAACACAAGGACTAGATTTGTAAATTACATTTTGAAATGTATCCATGACACTCCTGGTTCTAGTTATTATCACAAAGTATATCCACAATACAACTTGTACATGTATATTCATAACACCATTATTTTTAATAGACAAAAACTAAAAGTAATCCAAATGTTCATCAATAGATGAATACATTAAAGAAACCATGGTAAATTCACAGAATGAAATACTACTGAGCAATAAATAAAATCTAACTTCTGATATACATGATAACACGAATAAATCTCAAAAACTTGCTGGTAAAAATAAGCCTAACACATACATAGTACATCATTCCACTTACATACATAAAATTCTAGAACAGGCAAAACTAATCTACAGGGACAGAAAGCAGGTCAATGGATGCCCAGGACCATGGGTGGAGTATGACCAGAAAAAGGGTCTTTCTGAGGTGACAGAAATATTCTTTATCTTGATTTAATGGTAGCCACACAAGTACACAAATGTTTCAAAATTCATTGAAAATTTAAAAACTGGTTTATCAAAATCCACAAAATAATTGTTCTAATTACAAAGGATAAAATGTTTAATTCTTATAAAAGACATCTGAATATTAAAATATATCATCAAGTCAAAGATGCCATCAATTTTAACATACATTTTTATTTTATGTTTCCAAAATGAAAAACCCAGTAAAGACACTTTCTGATTTCAGATGCTAAAATACGAAAAACTATGCTTGAATATCAGTATTAAATGCACAATTCTTACAGTGACATCACAACAGAGTACATCAGAGGGAAATTTTCAGTCAAGATCCTAATGCCTCCAAAAATTATCATTACTCATACTGTCTTAAGCCTCAAGGAAAAGTATTTTTAAATGAAGTGGTATACACAAACAGGAAATACATTTCACATCCTGAGGGAGGGAAAGATACAGCTCCAAAAATATAACAAATAGTCCTAGGAACTAAAATCACTTTTATTTCAAAGAGCTGCTGAATAAGGGAATGGGATATATTATGAAGCCAGAGCAAAGGCCACAATGAAGGAAAATTTTAATAAAATAATCAATAGTGCTAATTACTTTTAAAGCAAAAGTTTTCAAAAATTCCCACCAAACCAGTTTCGTCATTTTCACAACCAAACAGAAGTTTCACAAAGAACAGAATGTACCTGAACAATCCTCAATGTATTCTAAAATCCACAAGTCTTTTTCACAACCAAAGAAGTTTCACAACCAAATAGTGTACCTGAACAATCCTCAATGTATTCTAAAATCCACAAGTCTTTTTCTTTTTTTTTTAAAGGGCAGATTCTAGGGTCACACAGCTTTAATTTATACAACACTGACCTACAATAGGTCATTTGGAGAGTCAAATTCTAATCTCAGATCATAGTTACAATGGCTCTTTCATAGCTTATGTTTCCCTAACCATAGATTTAAAATAACCACCAGAAAAGTATTTAGAAATAAAAAAAGGCCACTGCAAAAACTAAAATTAATTAACTAAAGTAAAACACTGACATTTTTCATCCCAAATCCAAACAAGATTTTTAGATTTGCTATTAACAAAACCTCAAACAAATACACAGATCTTATGGTAGTAGCTATCTAAATCAAAAGAAAAAGATATCTATTCTTTTAAGCTTGGCACTGTTAGCCTGCCAACATGCCAATAGGAAGCAACAAACTCTCACCTAACACAAATGTTTTGTGGCGCAAGACAGGACAAAAATTAAAAAATGAATTGAACGTAACTTCTCAGAATTTCCAGTAACTCTATGTTGACTGTTCTTGATGTAAAACATACTAATTTAGTGTTTATATCACAGTATTCAATCACTTAATCAAAGTATCATTTGAGTTCCAGCACGAGATTTGTTAGGGGCAATGCAAAAGTTTAAAACCAACCCCCTAATTTTTTAAAAACAGGGAATTAACTTGTATCTTCATATTTTAAAAAAGTAAACATAACAATTCACCAAATCTACAAGTACAAACCTGTCACTTGTAGAAATTTTCAGACTAATATAAAACCATACTACATAAATATAATGATACTATTAACACTAGAATGTGTTATATGTGTTAGAATAAAAGCTTTTTGTAGCAGTGTAGCAAGTTTTTTAATCCTCCAAAGGTTCATGTGTACTACTCTGGCTAAACTCCATGTCATTACAGTTGGCTCTTCATACCAACCCGCTTTCAAGGGTTGATATGCTAGAAGAGTTTCAATATCTGGATTTCCAGCAGTTACCTTAAGTTTCCATGTCTTAGCAAAATGGCACATTCACTCACTGACCAGCAACAATAAATTTACTGTGCTGGAACTCTAACGTGACACTAAATCTTCATTCTCAAAATTCACTCCCAGCATTAACAAATGATATAAATAACCAACTCTTTTCATGTACCTGTAATCATACCAGGCTTCTGATTTTACAATCCTGGTTTAAGCTGTTTACATTTCCAAAGTAATCAACTTTTGCTCTCCTAAATCCCTCGTAATATTCAAAGTAAAACTGATGGAATTTTTTGATAAGTTACTACAAGTTTAGCATCACTGATTACCTTCAATGCACTTGCAAGTGAACCACAGCTAATCTGTAAATTAAGAATTCATCTACAAATGGGAGCAAGAAAAAAAGTTGTTTTTCTTAAGCAAAGTTGGAAATAAACAGAAAATCTTTTTATTTAAAGGATGGTGGAGTTTCAAAAAGTGAAGTTTATGCAATTTAAGTGTCGAAATTACCTGAATCAGTAATACTAATCTCTCCCTCCCCACAAAATGAAAATTTAATTTCCTAGAAAATAACCACAGACGGCAGCCAAGAGACTTTATTTTGTGACACGTGGAGCTAAAAGTAAAGAAAAAAGTACCAGAAAATAAAGGCAAAAAGAAACTCTTCCAAGGTTGGAAGACAAAAAGTCTCTGTTTTAAGGTCTTTTCCCAACTTCTAGGATTAACTAGAAAATCTTAGACAGGTAGGGTGCAGTGACTCATGCCTGTAAATCCCAAAGCATTGAAAGGCTGAGGAGGGAGGATCACTTCAGGCCAGGAGTTTGGGATCAGCCTGGGCAACATAGCAAAACTCCATTTTGGAAAAAAAAAAATTAAAAATTAGCCATGAGTGGTGATGCACACTTGTAGTCCTAGCTACTCAGGAGGCAAGAGAATCTCTTGAGCATAGGAGTTTAAGGTTGCAGTGAGCTATGATGGCATCACTGCACTCTAACTTGGGTGAGAGCAAGATCCTGTCTCAAAAAAAAAAGAAAAAAAGAAATCTTAGACTTTAAGTACCTACTTACTAGTCCAAGGTGAGTAACAAATTATAATTTCTCAAATGAGAGGCTGGCTAAAACAAGGATGTTTTGATAACTGTAGAAGGCACTTAATACACTTTCCTAAACAGAAGACAGAGTGAGAACGAAGTACATCAATTTGAAGGCCTGATTTTTATTTACTTCGTTTATGTTTTTTGAGATGGAGTCCTGTTGTCACCCAGGCTGGAGTGCAGTGGCACCATCTCGGCTCACTGCAACCTCCACCTCCCGGTTCGAGTGATTCTCCTGCCTCAGTCTTCCAAGTAGCTGGGATTACAGGCATGTGCCATCATGCCCACCTAATTTTTGTATTTTAATACAGACAGAGTTTCAACATGTTGGCCAGGCTGGTCTCGAACTCCAGACCTCAGGTCATCAGCCCGCCTCAGCCTCCCAAAGTGCTGGGATTACAGGTGTGAGCCACCGCACCTGGCCAAGGCCTGATTTTTAATTTGGCTTCACACAACTCTCCTTCTCTAACAAAAGCACTAAATCTAGAAGCCTGTCAAATACAAGGTAACAGGATACTTCATGGTTAATAGTACCATTTAAACTCATCTACACCCCACGTAATGAAGAAACCATTGATCTTTATATTTTAATAGCTGAAGGCAGAGGTAACTGGAAAAAAGTTACTACTAAGGCATAAAATATTTCACATACCCTTATGATTCCACAGTTATTTAGAACAAGTTCAAGGAATATACATACCATAAAGTATTAAATCAGGAATAATGGATTTACTCAACAATATTAAGCACCTACAATGTGCCACTCACTGTGCTGTATAATATTATAATAATAAATCCATTACATGATATGATTCTGGTTAATGCTAAAAATCATGAAATTGTACCTACTTTTGGATTTCAAGGACAAGTTAAATCACCCTCCAAATTTTGAGGCCCTGAAACAAGGTTTCTGTTTTTCAGTGGTTTTCTTTACTTTTTTCTCTTTGGCTAATGACTGTTGAAAACTTAATGAACAGACGTAAATCTATATACACATTTTGAAGAACCAAGGGAATCTTACAAAAGACAAAAAAAAAAAAAAAAAAAATCAAGTACTTATACTTACCAACACTCTAAAAAAATAAAGATACTCTGCAGCTCCTGAGTAATTCCCACATTCGTACTGGAATTTTGCATATCTGTAGAGTGTATCTAAATATTCCTGCCTAAACTAAAAAGAAAAAAAAAAAGATTAGGTTCTCTTGAATTCAGAGTTTTAAAACCGCATTGTAATTCATAAGTCTTTGAGGTCAAAACTATGAATGTTTAATTCACCAACTTCTTTTTTTTTTTTTTTTGAGACGGAGTCTCGCTCTGTCGCCCAGGCTGGAGTGCAGTGGCCGGATCTCAGCTCACTGCAAGCTCCGCCTCCCGGGTTCATGCCATTCTCCTGCCTCAGCCTCCTGAGTAGCTGGGACTACAGGCGCCCGCCACCTCGCCCGGCTAGTTTTTTTGTAGTTTTAGTAGAGACGGGGTTTCACCATGTTAGCCAGGATGGTCTCGATCTTCTGACCTCGTGATCCGCCCGTCTCAGCCTCCCAAAGTGCTGGGATTACAGGCTTGAGCCACCGCGCCCGGCCTAATTCACCAACTTCTAATGTATATTTTAAAATCTATCTCTGATTATGGTATTTATTTTTGGTGGCAGCTTTTGGGAGACTTTTAAAGAACTGACCTCTGGAGTTATTTAAAGAAGTAAACTAACAGGGGTTGTGCTGGGGGAGGTGGTTTCAGGATGAAACTGTTCCACCTCAGATCATCAGGGCATTAGTTGAATTCTCATATGGAGCGTGCAACCTAGATCCCTTGCTTGCGCAGTTCACAATAGGGTTCGTGCTCCTATGAAAATCTAATGCCTCCACTGATATGACAGGACGCAGAGCTCAGATGGTAATGCTTGCTCACCTTCTAATCACCTGCTCTGTGGCCCCCTGGTACTGGTCCATGACCTGGGGGTTGGGGACCCCTTAAATAATGAATTATATGCAAAGCCTCATGCTTTGAGTTAACACAAGGGAAATGAGATTGAGCGATGGTTAGGAAAGTTTATAACATTTCTTTATTTGTGAATCTGGGAACTTATAAAGACTTTGATAATTTCAAAGGCTATTGTGTTCCACAAGGCGGCCAAAGTATTACCTAATTCTATTGCTCAAAACATTTCTAATTCAAATTTAATTCTGTTTGCCTTACTTGTTAATCCATAAGAAAAGGCATCCAATGCCCTATAATATATAATACTTAGCTTGCTGTTGGCACTAATATAAAATGCCAACAACTATTGCCAGCTATTACAACTCTGGAAGAAATAAAAGCTTTGAGAATTTCTGTTACCTAAAGGTGAGCTATAAGCACATATTTTCCTATCAGCAACAATTTATAAAAACTGAAGTTTTAAAAATAGAACCAGATTTTATAATTAATAAATTAATCTGGAAATTATATTCTTAGGCCAAGCCATGAGACTATCTCTACAAACCAGTCTTTAGTTGGCATTATTAAAACATGACAACTTTAAAATATTTTTAAAACACTTACACCATGCTTATCCGCCAGGTAGTCAAAGAGCATCCTACCATCCCTAAATAATAATAAAAAAAAATTACAGTATTTTAAAGGCCACAGAAAACAAAATAAGCATATCCAACTTCTAAATTATTACCTATGCAAAGTCACCTTAAATAAATACGTAAATGTTATAAGACTTCCAGAATAAAATAAGCAGGACATTACATGTTTTGAATGTAAAGAGTACATACAAGGAGAGCTACAAACTTTAAAATTCACTTTCAGATGTCTTTAGTTCTAATTGAAAATTAGTGTTGTTTCACCACAACTAACGTAAGGCCTTTAGAAGTCTGTCAGGTAATAAAACCAGAAGATTCTGACTATTTCTAGTAAGGTGAGAAGTCTACTTAGTGGTAATCTATTGAGAATGGTTTTTGCTCTCTGTGGTCAGATTTCTAATAGATAATATAGTCTAATCACAGAGACTGATATAAAATGTACCACGTACAAACTAAAAGAAACTAATCCTATATACAAATTTTGTCCCCTCTTCCAATCTGTTAATATTTTTCAAAAGGATGATTCTGACAAATTTACAAGATTAATAAATCATGCCTGGCTGGCCACAGTGGCTGATGCCTGTAGTCCCAGCACTTTGGAAGGCTTTGGGAGGCTGAGGCAGGTGGATCACCTAAGGTCAGGAGTTTAAGACCAGCCTGGCCAACGTGGTGAGACCCAATCTCTACTAAAAATACAAAAATTAGCCAGGCATGGTGGCGGGTGCCTGTAATCCCAGCTACTTGGGAGGCTGAGGCAGGAGAATCGCTTGAACCTGCGAGCTGGAGGTTGCAGTGAACACAGATGGCGCCACCACACTCCAGCCTGGGCGACAGAGTGAGACTCTGTCTCAAAAAAATTAATAAAAATAAAAAAATCATGTCTCATGTACATGACAGCTATGCTACATACCCTACATAATCATTAGGTATAACCAAGTGCCATATTTAATTTTTCTTAAATTAGCTTTGCGTTATCTTGAGATGCTGACAGACTGGTAAAAGACAAACTGATAATAAAGACATCAAGGGACAGGGGATATAAGGGTAGTTGCCCACCTTATGAGCATTTTCATTGTTACTGTTTTTTGAGACGGAGTCTCACTCTGTCGCCCAGGGTGGAGTTCACTGACATGATCTCGGCTCACTACCACCTCCGCCTCCCGGATTCATGCAATCCTCCTGCCTCAGCCTCCCAAGTAGCTGGGATTACAAGCATGCACCACTATGCCCAGCTAATTTTTGTATTTTTAGTAGAGATGAAGTTTCACCATGCTCGCCAGGCTGGTCTCAAACTCCTGACCTCAAGTGATCTGCCGACCTTGGCCTCCCAAAGTGCTGGGATTACAGGTGTGAGCCACTGCACCTGACTGCATTTTTCAAAATGAAAACATTTTCTTATCCTTGTCATGAGAAGAAATATGCTATAATGTATCTTAGGGAGCACAAGTTTGCTTAAAGACTTAATGGGGCGAGATATTTCCCCATAAAAATTAATATAGGTGTATTATAATACTGAGTATGAAATGTACATGAAATTGCAACACAGAAGAACTTCCACAAAAACTGAACACTTGCAGTGGATCACGGTGAATAACTTTGTATTGCACTACTTACACCACTCACGTATATAATCACTGTCCTCTGGCTGATTATTTCTGGGAAAGTGTTAAGTATGACACTATATGTTCAATGAAATTTAAAAAGGGGGAATTGTCAGAAAAAGGTTTTCACATTGAAAATAGGTAGTTTATAAGTATAATAAGATTACAAGTTTTTAACACATGATCCTTTCATTTACCTCAAATTCAGTACCTGTTAAGCTACAAGGATCCTCTTTTTCTAACTGGTGAACATATCTACATTCATCTTATTCATACTTTGATCCCATAACTTCCCAGTCTTTGAGTGACTGAACTACAACATCCTAAATTTTCTGTTGTAGTCTAACAACTGGATTATTTCAGGTGTCCCTTTGTAATCACCTACATGTGACCTGAAAATCTAAAACTACTTATTCTAAAAGCATACAAGTAGTTTAGTATAATATATAGCTCTGCCTATGCACGTAATGTGTGTGTATATATATCTCTGTGTGCATGTTTTCCTGCATATAGTCATCCCTTGGTATCCCCAGAGCATTAGTTCCAAGATCTCGCCTACCCACTACCCACCAGCCCCCTCAAATACCAAAATCTGCAGGTGCTTAAGTCCCTTATGTAAAATAGCACAGTGTTTGTATGTAAACGATACACATCCTCCCATATACTTTAAATCATTTCTAGATTACTTATACCTAACGCAACGTAAATATCATATGGTTGCTGTTATACTGTAGTTTTATTTGTATTTTTTATTGCAGTATTGTTATTTTTTAGGTTCTTCTCCTGAATATTTTCAATCTGCAGTTAGTTGAATCCACAGATGCAGAACAGAGAGTTGACTGTATTTATATGTAGTATACGTCATAGTATAGTATAGTATGCTATAGTATGGCACAGTAATTGTGTATTTGTTGCTTTTCTAAAAATATCTGGTAACATCTTCACAAATCACGAAGGAAAACTTAAGAGCCAATCTCTAAAAATTTGGTTTAAACACATAGAAATTAAAGGTATAGCACGGCAAAATATCCAGCAATTACTCAAGTGAATTCAATGGTAGCTAGGATTTATCTCAAATGACAATATTCAACTTTAGTAAGAGATTTTATTTTTAAATGTTTCTAATAACCCAAAGGACTTCTACCCGTGACATGTACTAAGTCAGAGTAAGGCAACATGCTTACGAAACAGTAAATCTATTTCCAGGTAAAGGGAAGTTAGGAATAAAATAATCTTATCAGCTCAAAACTACCCTCCTTGGGCGAGGCATGGAGCTTAGAAGGGTATGAAAGAATGTAGCCAGGAATAAAGTGAGCTCAGGTTTCTCTTATAACGAGTTGTGCTCTAAGGCGCTAGGTATTGCGCAGGCACAGGGTTTCTTTTTTATTTTTTCCTGAGATGGTGTCTCACTACGTCACCTACTTTGGAATGCAGTGATATGACACTGACTCATTGCAACCTCCACCTCCTGGGCTCAAGCCATCCTCTGACCTCAGCCTCCCAAGTAGCAAGTAGCTGAGACTACAAGCGTACACCATCACGTCTGGCTAATTTTTTGTTGCTTTTATTTTTTTGGTAGATGGAGGGTTTCGCCATGTTGCCCAGGCTAGTCTCGAACTCCTAGGCTCAAGTGATTCACTTGCCTCCGCCTCCCCAAGTGCTGAGAGTACAGGCATGAGCCACCACACAGTGGCACAGCGTTTCTTAATGGACATTTTGAGTTAGGTAATTCTTTGTTGGGGAGTAGTGGGAGGGGTGCTGTCCTATGCACTGTAGGATGCTTAACAGCATAACTGGTCTCTACTCACTAGGTGCCAATAGCACCCCTCCAGTTATGACAGCCAAAAGTATCTCCAGACATTGCCAAATGTCCCCAGGAAGGAGGAAATAGGAGATGGAAATTCTGTAGCATAATCAGTACAGATAAGTACTAAAGAAGTTTAAAAAAAAAAAAATTAATATTTATTAATTATACTGGCCCCTACAAAATAAGGATAAATGAACATTTAAAAATGAATAAAGCACTCATTTAAACCTATGAACTTTTACTATGGGATACTGGATAAAGTTTGAATTAACATTTGTATTAATCCAGAAACGAGAATTTTTCAAATTCAAAATTAAGAAGAGTTTACCTGGTTGACTGCATTTGCCTCGTAGTTTCTGGATCTTCAAACATCTTCACAATTGGTTCTGTTTCGGCCTGAAGCTGTTTCAGTTGTGCAACCACTGTGGTTCTTTTCTCTCTCAAAGCTAATTAAAAATGCAAAAGAGTACTACAATGTTAAGGCAAGTTAAAGTGTGCTACTCATCATGAGAATGTCTGGAAATTGTTCAGAGTATTTAAACTATACATACATTTATTTATCCCCAATATATTCATATGCCAGGGGCTACTCACTCAGAAATGTCCCCAATGCCTAATTTCTTTTTTCTAGTAATACAAAGCCACAAAAAGGAAAAGGGAATCCTCTTCCTACTCTTAAGGGAAACTGGAGAACATACAGCCTTGGGGTGACAGAGGTGAAAGAAAAAAAGGGTAGGACCCAATTATCTATCATTTAATTCTCCATTGCAGAAACTTCATTCCAAGTGTTTTTATATTTGTTCCCATTTAATTTTCTTAGGTGAATATTATCCAGGAGTTTTTGAACAAAAACTCAGAGGGGCTTACATATTACTATTACAGGCTATCCACTAGGTTGAATGGAATTTAAATCCATTAAATAATCTCTTTTAACTATAAATCCAGCTCTATAACCTCTCAAACCAAATTCTATTGTTCCTTTTACTATACGATGAAAAGGTGGAGAAAACTTGCACATAACCAACTCTGGTACCACCTTAATGTTTCATTAAGAAACTAAGAAATAGGCCGGGGGCGGTGGTGCCACACCTGTAATCCCAGGAACTTGGGAGGCCAAGGCAGGCTGATCACGAGGTCAGGAGTTCGAGATCAGCCTGGCCAATATGCTGAAACCCCATCTCTACTAAAAATATAAAAATTAGCCAGGCATGGTGGCACGTGCCTGTAGTCCCAGCTACACAGGAGGCTGAGGCAGAAGAATCACTTGAACCTGGGAAGTGGAGGCTGCAGTGAGCCAAGATCACGCCACTGCACTCCACCCTGCCTGAGGGTGAGAGACTCTGTCTCAAAAAAAAAAAAGAAAAAAGAAACTAAGAAACAGTTTCCTTTTTGTTTATATACGACAAACTAAAGAAGAGCTACTGTTGTTGCAGGGAACTATAAGTCAAACAGGTGGATTATGTTTAATGTAATAATTTCTGCATTACATATTAGAAAGTATATTCTAGAGCAGTCTTTCTCAAACACAGGAGAAGATCTATGATCAAATTTTGAGAAATGCCAATTTAAACAGAGTATACTGTATTTCTCTACTGCCAGAATTCTTGGAATCTTTAAAAATGTAATGTGCATTGAAGAAATGACACAGAAGTATTTCCCAAACTTAGAGAACCACTTTTTTTTTTTTTTTTTTAAAAGTAACATTACCACAGAAAGCAAGAGTTTGGAAAACACTGTATCACAGCAGTTCTCCAACTTGAGTGCTAGGCCTCACTTAACAGTTTTGATTAAGTAGGTCTGGTGTGTGGCCAAAAACCTGCATTTCTAACAAGCTCTCCCAGGTGAACTGATGACGGTGGTCCTGGGGACCATATTTGGAGAACAATGTCTACACTAGATGCCTCAAAATTAAAATAAAAAAAAAATATCTAAGGCACACAATGCAGTAACTAAAAAAGGTAGCAACCCAAGAACTGCAACATTCTCAGATAATTCTAAGGAATGTGAATCATAAGCACAACTTTGATGATACATACTATGAACTGAAGGTATCTGATGACCATATTTTAAAGTAGTTCCACATCTTTCACAGGGAGAAAACAATACACTTCAGAAGACATGAAACCTTTATATAACCTCTCACCCAAAGAACATTAACATTCAAATAATAATTAAGTCTTTTGGCTAAAGCTCTCTTATAAATCATAAAACTTTAATACACATATCCTCAAGTCACAAGACAAGCTTCAATTCTAATGACAAAACTTACCATGAGGAATATCATCAGAATAAAGGTTTTTGTATACATCCATAGCAAAGTCTACCATGTTGGTATCACTAAGAAGGTCCAATTTACCTTGTAATAATTCCTTTTCATTATATATCTGGAAAAGAAGATAACTTTCTAATGAATATATTTAAGTCCTCCAAATAAACTGATTAATACTAAGACTAATTTACCTGGAAATATATTTCAAGAAATACTTTATAGAATACGATAAACTATTAACTTCCCCCTCTTGTAATAATGGCAAGCAATATGGCAAGCAAACAACCTATAGACATAAAACTATTTTACTTACCTAAAATTTTTAAAATGAAGAGAATTACTATAGACATTCCAACCTCCTTCTGATTTATATGATCTTATTTTTTATATGTCCCTACAAATCATCTCTTATCTTTTCTAGGCAAGGCTGTGGATAAATAAACAAAATCCACACCATCTGTTCTGTAAAGCAGAAATAGCTGTCACCTCTCCATATCCAGGTAATCAGTAATAAACTCTAACATGCTTCTCCATCCACACTGCTGAAACAAAAACTGCACCGATTTTTTAAGTCAACCATGTCAGACCAGGCTTTTGCTTTGCAAATGGTCCAAAAAACATAATTTAAACTATAGTACAGGGAGCAAATAGATACATACACAAACTCACATCAACATGAAGTGTGCTGAGTAATATATAAAGATTCTACAAAATATTCAGGGACATAAATGCTTCAGCAAAAGAAGAGATTTCTGTACTGAACTTAATTTTGCAAGGAAAGAAAAATCCAGGCAAATGCCACAACATTTCACTGCCCGCAAGAAGTAAAGATGAAGGTGGTCAAATGGTATTTAGCCATAAGAGCGAAACCGAACCTTCCAAATTACATGCAGAACTCCTATAAATGAGTAAGACAAGACAGACCATGCAATTGAAATGGCTAAAAGATAGGCACTTTGCAAAAGAAGACAACAAAATGGCCAAAAAACATATGAAAAGGTTCTCAACTTCATTAATCATAAGTAAACGCATATTAAAAATTACAATAAAAATGTTAAAAATCCTGACAGTACCAGTGTTGCTGTGGATGTAGACTAACTGGAACATATACTCCTCTGGCAGGAATAAAATCACTTTGTAAGATTTTTATCTCCCAAAGCCAAACATACTTTTTGATCCAGCAATTCTGTTTCGAGGCATCCAAAACAACTGGGTGCATATAGTCAAAGTGCACTTCCAAAAATGTATACAGGAGCACTATTTGTAATAGCCATGTCTATCAATGTTAAAATGAGAAAACAAACCACAGCATATTCATAAGAGACTAACATTCGGCACTGAAAAATCAATGAACTACTTCTGCTATCCTAAAAACATCATGACTCACAAACAACACTGAGTGAAAGCAGTCATACAAAGCAGTACATGGTGGTAAATGCTTAACTCCACCTATGTAAAAATCAAAAACAGGCAAAATGAATCATCAGACTACAGCTTACCTTTAGGGGGTGTGAGTACTGACTAACGGGGTCAAGAGGAAGGTTTAAAGACGTCTGCAATGTTTTATTTATTAATCTGAGTGGTGGTCACATAAATGTATTCACTATTCATTTTGAAAAAAATATGTATCATTGACCAGTACATTTATATTTGTGTACTTTTATGAATGAACGTTGTATCTGATAAAATTTACCAGAAAAACTTTAACTTCTCATCACTTTGCGCTATAGAAACCGTAATCTTAAATAAAAACATTCTTTTCCAAGCATGCAACCTCTCCTCACCACTCTACTAATAATTTTAATTTACCACGTCTCTCTCCACGATAGATTCAACAGCCCTGCTCCTCTACCATCAGGTGTTACTGACCTGTTCTGAAATCTACATCTGCCTCTCAATTCTGCCTCATAGGCAGAAAGCAAATACTTCAGACTTCGTATCAAGAAGCAACAATTGAAAATACTATATAAGTACTCACATGAAAAAGGAGAATCAAATTTCCACAATTTTTTCATGAGAAAAGGTTAAGAGGGTAAAAGAATCCGTTGACTACACAGAGGTATTAAATGACAAAGTCTTGAAGGTTCCAATTCAGAGCCCAGGGTCCTAAATATTTCACTATCTGGCCTGCTCCACATGAAAATAAAGAGTGAGAAACAAATATGTATTCATTCAATCATTTATTAAACAATCATAAAAAGCCTTTATGCCAGACTCCATATTATGTGCTGAGAGCACAAGGAAGCTTCTGCTCTCATGAGGTTTATATTCTCCAATGTAACAAGTATATGAAATTGTTTTTCTCTTGGTGCAATACAATAGTCTCCCCTTATCCACGAGCTAAATGTTCCAAGACCCCCCCAGCGGAAGCTTGAAACCGCAGATAGCCCCAATCCTATATTTACTGTTTTCTTCCTATACACGCATACCTATGATAAAGTCTAATTTATAAACTGCGCACAAGAGATTAACAATAACAAAATATAACAATTAAGTTAGCATATACAGTGTGGATACATTGGACAAAAGGATGATTCATGTCCCAGTCTAAAGCAAGGGAGCGAGACAGATTTCATCCTACTACTCAGAAGGGCGCACAATTTAAAACTTACGAATTGTTAATTTCTGGAATTTTCCATTTAGTATTTTTGGACCGTAACTGGAACTGCAGAAACTGAAACTGCTAAGGGGGTGTGGGGGGGCTGCTGTATCCTCACATAGCAGGATCACTGACTCTATCCTAACCATCTAGCCTTCAAAACTCAAAGCCTCACCTCCTCAAAGTACTCTTTGCTCGCTGAAGATAACAGAATCTCAATTTTGATAGCACCCTACCAATACCTCTTCGACATTTATTACTTTTTACCTTATATCAAAAATATTCAACTCTAAAGGATAGGTAAGTTTTTAGTAGTGAGATGTCTGGGTTTTATCTTGGATTTCTCACAGTTACATGGCCCTATACAATTAACCCTTGAACAAGGGTTTGAATCACACAGGTCCATGTATACACTCTTTTTCAATAAAAGTTACACCAAGTGTGCTTGCCTTTCCTGACTTCCCTTCCACTTCCTCTACTTCTTCCACCTCTGCTACCCCTGAAACAGCAAGACCAACTCCTCCTTTTCCTCTTCCTCAGCCTACTCAATATGAAGACAATGAAGACCTTTATGATGATGTACTTCCACTTACTAAAAAGTAAGTGTATTTTCTCTTCCTTATAATTTAAGACCACTTTCTCTAGCTTACTTTATTGTAAGAATACAGTATATAACACATACAACACAAGACTGTTCATGTTCTCAGTAAGCCTTCCTGTCAACATTGGGGTATTATTAAGTTTTGGGGGAGTCAAAAGTTCTAACAGATTTTTGACTGCAGGAGTTCAGCATTCCTAACCCCTGTATTGTCCAAGAATAAAATGTACTTAGTAATTGATAATTAAATACTCCAGCATCTGTCTTCCTCTTGGTATATTACAGTCATCTTACCAACATTTTCTCCAAAGAGGTGGGTATTGGGCAGTTTTTCCCACTGATTCTCAACTGCCTGCAGTTCATAGTTTTCGTCTAGCCCTATGCAAATCTAATTTACATTTACATATTCCTCCTTTCCTTCTGTCTGCCATTAAAAAAATGAAATTATAAAGAACACAAAAATATATAAAGTTCAGCTAGTTCAGAAGTACTTCTACAAGTAGCTGGTAAAAAGGCTTTCAAAATATGGCACTTTTACTAGATCTTCTGTCCTCACTTTTCCAGAAAAGAAAACAATGCAGATGGGAATGTTTTACTCAAGGTCTAAAATACAGGTGTAAAAAGAAGAATCAAAGCAACAATATATCTTTTCAAGAGAAAATTTTACATGATAAGACATTCTTGGACATTTACGGAAAATGATCTTAGCCGTTACCTAACATCAACAACTTCAGAGTTGTCTATGTTTAGAAAAGGTGCATAGGAATATGAGGATTATACCTGTCTAACGAGCCACAACCACCTGGCAGCTGGTTTTGTGGGACGTTTTTGTTTTACTGCTTTTTGTCTTTTGCTACACAAAATCCACTCCCCAAATCTAGAGTTCCCTAAGTAGACTTACATTGTAGTCTGCTTCCAGAAACAGAATTCACTTATTTTTCTGGCCAAAATTCCTTCATCAGCAAATTACTTTGCATTATCAAAATGCATCAATTTCCCAATAAACTCACGGTATAACTAATGTCAATTTTCTTTTAGCCAAAACTTTCAAGTCCAATAAAACTTTTAGGACTGACATACGCTTTAAAATGAAGTTCCAGAATTACACATTTATTCACAATATCTTGAGTAGATAATTGAACATTAAAGACCAATTCAAATCACTTTAAGTCAGTACAATGTACACACTGGAAAACACATTTAAAGACTGTGGGGATTTCTTTTTTGGGGGGGCAGGGGAGCGCCGTCCCCATCTGACGAAATATGCTGTTCTAAAAAGTCCTACTTATCAAAGACAAGAAAACGCAAAGAACTCACAACTTGATGGAAATTAAAGCGCTAGATACTTATTTTAAGTGTAAGAGAATCACTCCAAACGACTCGACATACAAAAACCCATAGCCAAGCCCAGGCTTCCCATTGTTTCCAAAAGAAAAATCAAAAGCTCTAACAACACTCCAGGTTGCTTTTAGAAGCCGGCCTGTGAAGCTCTAACGTTCTCTAGAGAAACCAGCGAATCACCAACTTCCGAGAACTGATGCGAACGTCCCTCTGGCACTGACACCTCAGTTAGTGAAGGAGACATCTTTTCTCTCTCCGTAACCTCCCTCCTTCTCACTGCCGAATACCGCGGTGCTTCTTAACTGAGAAGACGCTAAATTACCACAAGATCCTTACTGTCCGTCCAGGAACCAAACTCGCAACCGCCTCGCACGTGTCAGGCCTAGGGCTACAGACACCGCCTTTCGGCCTTGCTCAGCAACTCACCCGCCCCCACGCCTTCCTCGCGCCCAAAGACCCCCTCACCTCCTTTACAGAGAGAAACTCAAGGAGCGGAAAGACTAGATGCCGATCCAAAAAGTGCGCGATGCGAGTAGTCAAGTCGTACTCCGCCATCTTGCCAAAGAAAAGGGAGTCTGTGCTCACTAAAACTTTATTGGTAGCGCCGACAAACGAACAGACAGATCCCGTACTGCGCATGTGCCACGGTAAAACTGGGCTAAGGAAAGGGGCGGGGTTTAGCCTGGCAAGCAGAGAAGAACGACGCATGCGCGCGGGTTGTCCGACCCCTTTGCGTTAAGGCGCGAGTGACGGGAACAGTTCCCTCTATGTATTTGTAGGTTTGTCAGTGTTCTCTTTCTAATGCTGGCCTTCGATTACCAGTCAGTGGCTTGCAGTCTATTCCGTTAATAACTAGTGAAACCTCAGAATTGATTGCTGAAGTAATGTGACTGCATTGGGATGCGGCAAAGGAAAAGATGAGAAGGGCCCTGATCTCCAGGAAGTTGCATACTAGGAGGAATATCTAGGCTTTTTCATTTGGCATACGCTAATCATTTTGTAAGCGATTGTTAAAGTGAGGGTGGGTTTTTAGACAGAAATAAGTGAAAAAAATTTTCAGATATAGTAAGAGCCATAATTTGGTGGAGATGGTTGGGTTGGACCTATTTAATTAGGATGATTAGAGAAAACTCAGATGGGAATTAAGAAAATTAGAGAAAAGTCTGATAGAGTAACAAGTTAGCTGAGAGTTGTAGTAAGAGAAGGAAGTGATTAAAACTAGAGCCAGAGTACAAACATGCTTGTTGGAAAGTACAGCAAAGACAATGACCATGAGACAGGCAGGGACTTAGTGTGTGGCGTTTCAAAAACTGAGTGGCCTGTGTGTACTGGGGAGTAAGGTTAAAGAGTTTGACAAGGGTCAGGTCATGATTATGGTAAGGAATGTGGGATTTCTTTCTAAGTACTCTGCAGTGTCCTTTGCTAGTTACTTCTCATCTTTTAGGCCTTTTCATTTTGAAGAGCCCCAGGGATCTTGGACCTCTTCTCCATCTAGACCAATGCCCTATATTGATAACATCAAGCCTAATGGCTTTACATGCAGTCCGCACATTGACAACTCCCAAAATATAGCCGCAACACTGACTATTAGTCCCAGACTCAAATGTACCCGGCATTTCAACATGAGCTTGTCCCAAACCAAGTTTCCCCATGTAGCTTACCAAACCTGCTCCAGCTGCACTCTTCACCTCAGTGGCCACTCCATCTGTACAGTTCCCCAAACTCAAAACCTTAGAATCATCATTGACTTTTTCTTTTACACTGTGCATGAAATCTACCGACAAACCCTTTAACTCTAATCTTTAAGGCACATTCACACCCAATCAGTTCACACCACCTCCAAAGTTACAACTCTAGTGCAAACCACCACTATCTCTTGCTTTGACTTTGGGAATCACTTCTTCACTAATCACCTTGCTTCCCCTTTTCCTCCTGTGCTTTATTCTTCATACAGCAGCCAGAGTGAATTTTTAAAAGTCAAATTATGCTTAAAGCTCTCCAAGGCTTGCTGTCTCATTTAGAGTAAAAGATGTAGTAGGGTATTTTAAATGACCTAAAAAGCCAGTAGATCATCTGGACCCATTACCTCTCTGACCTCATCTCCTAAATGTTTCCCTCTTGCTCACTTGTCTCCAGCCACACAGATTTCCCTTCAGTTCCTCAGATACTCCCACCCTGCTTTCATGTTGTCCTGTTATATTTGCTATTCCCTCTACCTGGAATGTTCTTCACCCAGTTATCTGCATAGCTCTTTTCCTGTCTCCTTCATATTTTGCTCAAATGTCATCTGCTCAATGAGACCTGCCTTGACCAGTCTATTTAAAAATGTAACTAACTTGCCTACAAGAACCTCTCATTTTGCTTTCCTGCTTTATTTTTTTGTTTGTTTTACAATATTTTACTTATTTTACTTTTGCTCTTCCCTGACTATTGTATTACTTCCACAAGATCAGGGATTTTGTCATTATTTTAAATATAATAACTGCTTCTCCAAAGTCTAAACAATGCCCAGTATATAGTTGGCACTCAATAAATATTTGAATGAGTATATGAGTGAAAGAAGGAGGTAGGCCTTTAGAGAGTGATGTAAAGTTTATTTATTTATTTATTTATTCATTCATTCATTTTTTGAGACAGAATCTTGCTCTGTCGCCAGGCTGGAGTGCAGTGGTGCAATCTCGGGTCATGGGTCACTGCAACTTCCGCCTGCCAGGTTCCAGCGATTCTCCTGCCTCAGACTCCCGAGAAGCTGGGACTACAGGCATGTGCCCAGCTAATTTTTGTATTTTTAGTACAGACAGGGTTTCACCATGTTGGCCAGGATAGTCTCGATCTCCTGACCTCATGATCTGCCGGCATCAGCCTCCCAAAGTACTAGGATTATAGGCGTGAGCCACCGCGCCTGCCCTGATGTAAAGATTTTTAGTGGAAATGTATTCTAACTATTGTGTGGTAAATGAATTGCGAAGGGGCTCGAGTGAAGACAGCAGGATCAGTTTGATGTTCTCAGACTGGGTGAGGGCTAATAGTGGTATAGACAAGTATATTCATACAAGTAGAGAGAAGAGATAAGAACCAAGATGAACTTTGGTGGTAGAACCAACAAGACTTGCTCCTGGATTGGATATGATGGATAAGGAAGAGTAAAAATCAAAATAATTTCTAGAAATACTACTCAGCAATAAAAGGAGGGGACTAGCTATACACACAACACCCTGAATGAATTTGCAGGGAATTATGCTGAGTGAATAAAAGTTAGTTCCCAGCCGGGCGCGGTGGCTCACGCTTGTAATCTCAGCACTTTAGGAGGCCAAGACGGGCAGATTGCCTGAGGTCAGGAGTTCGAGACCAGTCTGGCCAACGTGGTGAAACCCTGTCTCTACTAAAAATACAAAAAAATTAGCCAGGCATGGGGGCATGCATCTGTAATCCCAGCTACTCAGGAGGCTGAAGCAGGGGAATTGCTTGAGCCAGGGAGGTGGAGGTTGCAGTCAGCCGAGATCGCACCACTGCACTCCAGCTTGGGCAACAGAGCGAGACTCCATCTCGAAAAAAAAAGTTAGTTCCCAAATGTTACATATTAAATTATTTTATTTACATAATATTTTTACATGACAAAATTATGGAAATGGAAACTAGATTAGTGATTGCCAAGGGTTAAGGAGGATGTAGGGGTGGGAGGGATGTGAGGGTGGCTATAAAAGGCAATAGCAGGGATCTTTGTGGTAATGGAATGCTCAGCATCTTAACTATGTCATTATCCTGGTTGTGCTATTTTACTGCAGTTTATGTTTTGTTTTCAACAGCTTTATTGAGATAAAATTTATATACCATACAATCCACCCATTTAAAGTATACAGTTCCATAGACATACACAGATAAGTGCAGTCATCACCACAGTCAATTTTAGAACATTTCCATCACTTCAAAAAGAGGCCTTGTACCCTTTAGTTAAGGGTAACTCCCCTATCCTTCCATTCCCCTCACTCCAGCCCTAAATAACCACTTTCTTTCGTTACAGGTTTCCCTATTCAAGATGCTTATATGAATGGAATCGTATAACATGTGGCCTTTTGTGTCCCACTTTTTTCACTTTACATGAGGATTTCAAGGTTCATCCAAATTGTAGCAGGTACTAGTACTTCATTCCTTTTTATGGTCATTGTATTTATATAATACTCCATTGTATTTACAGACTACATATTGTTTACCCATTCATCTGCAAATGGACATTTATATAGTTTGCATCTTTTGACTATTAAAGATAATGTTACTATAGTAATTCCAGCACTTTGGGAGGCTGAGGTGTGGGGATCACTTGAATTCAGGAGTTTGAGACCAGCCTGGCCAACATGGCAAAAACCCATCTCTACAAAAAATACAAAAATTAGCCAGGCGTGGTGGCATGCGCCTGTAATCCCAGCTACTCTGGAGGCTGAGGCAGGAGAATCGCTTGAACCCGGGAGGCAGAGGTTGCAGTGAGCTGAGATCGCACCACTGCACTCCAGCCTGGGTGACACAGCAAGACTGTCTCAAAATAATAATAATAATAATGCTACTATAAACATTCATGTACAAGTATTTTTGTGGACATGTGTTTTCAGTTTGCTCAGGTATATGTATAGGAGTGGAATTTCTGGGTTACATGGTTATCTCTGTTTCATAGTTTGAGGAAATGCTAGACTGTATTATAGTTTTGCAAGATGTTACCATTAGAGTAAACTGGATAGAGAGCAAATGGGATCTCCCCTGTGCTTACAAGTTGATCTTACAACTGCATGTGAATCTTCTATCTCAAAATTAAGAAGTTTATTCCTGTACTTTGTGCTTAAGAAACTGAGTCCCTTCTGGCGACCAGTATATGGGGTAGAATGGCAAAGGAATATGCATGGGTACTTAAACAAGGAGTTCTGTTTCAGGCAAAATGAGATCTCTATTAAATATCCGAGTGGTCATATCTAGTAAGCAAATGGAGATACTATTCTGGATGAGTTGATATAGTTATCAATTGCTTACAATGAATGTTACCTTGTATGTTTTCAATGATGTGGAAGTATTATATGATCTCTACCATTATGCCATTTACAGTATTGTTGGCAAAGCAAGGCAGAATGCCCATGAAGCAGAGAATACATGCTAGTATAAGCTGCTAAATTTTGGGGCATAGTCTGTGTGGCCTCTAAGAGTTGAGAAATAACAGTTGTAATTTGAAGTTTCCTGAAATTCCAGGAAGTTGTAATAAAATATAAACAGGAAAACAGGCAAAAGTGAGGTAGAGCAAAGGAAGGAAGGAAACAGGTAGCAGTATGAAAACTTGCCAAAAAGGAACAGAGAGCATCTTTGAGAAGCAGAGAGAAATAAGATGCAATTCTGACAAACATTCTGAACTTTTACCATAGGCAAGGTACTAAGCTAGGTGTTACTGGGAATATATAATCAATAAGTGTTAGTCCGTGGCCACAGGAGCTTTCAGTCTTATAGATGACAATTATTAATTTATTCAATTTAAACTAAATGCTTACAACATGCTAGGCACTATTCTAGGTCCAGGGAATACAGAAGGAAAGAAAACAACATTCTCTAAAGAAAACTAACAACATTTAAGTGGAAGGATGTAGATAAAAACATATTAACAAATATATACTTTGTTAAGTGGTAATAAGTGATATGAAGAAAAATAACTCAAGGTAAAGGCTAGAGAATGATGGGGAAAGGTTGCTAATTTGTATAAAGTAGTTAGAGAAAGTCTCAATTATAAGGTAGAATTTTTTGTTTGGTTTTGTTTTTTGTTTTGTTTTGTTTTGGGAGACAGGGTCTCTCTTTGTCACTCAGGCTGGAATGCAGCAGCATGGTATCAGCTTGATCTGCAGCCTCAACCACCAGGACTCAAGTGATCCTCCCACCTCAGCCTTCTGAGTAGCTGGGACTACAGGCATGTGCCACCATGCCTGGCTAATTTTTTAAAAAACAATTTTTTAGAGACAGGGTCTCATTGTGTTGCCCAGGCTGATCTCAAATTCCTGGCCTCAAATAAACCTCCTGCCTTGGCCTCCCCAGAGTGCTGGGGTTACAGGCGTGAGCCACTATACCCAGACATATAAGGTAGAATTTGAAAGGTAACCTGATGGAAGTGAGAGAGCCTATGACTGTCTAGAGGAAGAACATTCCTGGTGAAGGAATATTAAGTATAAAGATACTGAAGCAGAAGTGTGCTTGGAGTCCTGCAAGAATTAGCAAGGAGGCTAGAAATGCTAGAGCTGACTAAGAGAAACTGTGGTAGCAGATGGACTCAGAAGCAATGGTGGGCCAGATGTCATAATGCTTTATAGGCCATGGTAATGATTTTAGTTATCTTCTAAATGAGATGGGAAGCTACTAACAGGGTTTTGAGCAGAGGAGTTTACATAATCAGCTCTAGAAAGACCACCTTGAGGGTTAGGGGTGCAGGGACAGAGAGATCAGTAAAGATACTATTGAAATAATACAAAAAAGAGATGACTATGGCTTGGATCAAAGTGGTAACAGTGAAAGAGTTGTAGACATAGTGCAATTCTGAACATATTTTCAATGCAAAATTTGCTAATGGATTGTATGAGAAAGAAAGGAGTCAGAGATGATTCTAAGATCTAGAAGAACTGAGGGCCATTTACTAAGATGAGGAAGGGTATGATAGATGCAAGTTTTAGGGACGAGGGAAATAAAGTGTTTAGTTTTGGACGTATTATGTTTGAGATACCTTTTTGACATCCAAGTGGAGATACTGATTAGGCAGTGGAACATATGAATCTGGAATCAGGGGAAAGGAGATAGAGCTGGAGATAGAAAATTAGATCTTTTTAACCTATTGATGAAATTGAAAACCATGGAACTGGATGAAATCTAAGTATGAGTGTGTTTAGAAAAGAGATGAGCAGGATTAAATCTTAGATACTTCAACTTGTAGAGGTCGGGACAACTCAGATCAAATAAAAAAGCTAAAGAAGGATCAGCCAGTTAATGGAAGACAGAAGAGGAGGAAGAACAGAAAGTGGTGTCCTAGAAGTCAAAGGAGGAGAGTGGCCCAAGCAGCAAAGAGCAATTAACTATATCAGATGGTGCTGTTAGTTCAAGACTGACCCCAAACAGGAATTGATTATCAGTGGAGGTAGAGCAGATGGAAAGGTTAGTGGATTGGAAGTATTTTGTATTAAGACTGCTAATTTATACTACAGATATGGAAGAGAACAGTACAGGTGGTTCAGGAACAACTTGAACACTGTAGAGACACAGAAACAGGAAAATATAAAAAATATCTGTGAAGGACAACTCGGGAAGTGAGCTGACAATTGGAGTCTATAGGGGAGAATGTCCTGGACAAGAAAGACCAGGACCAACTACAGTAAGTCCCCACTTAATGTTGTCGATAGTTCTTGGAAACTGCAACCTTAAGTGAAACAAAGTACAGCAGGTCTTCGAGTAATGTCATTTCATTCAAGGTTGCTTCCTTATAACATTGATGAGGAAAATAAACCTAACAACTTGGTGTCATTATACTTAATTTTGCTTAAAGTCACGGTTTCCAAGAACCTACTGACAACGTTAAATGAGGTCTTACTAGAGTAGAAAACTAAAGTGAGGAATTTGAGAATTATCTTAGGTCATAAGGAACCTTGAAGTATTTTTGAGTATGATAGTGAATAATCCTGTCTGTGTTTCAGAGAGGTGATTCTGACAGTTGTGTAGACAGTGGATTGGATGGGTAAAATGGAGCCAGGCCATGGAAGGTCTTCAAAACCAGATGGGGAAATTTGGATTTGATCAGAAAGGCAAAGGGAGCCACTTGTTAAATTCTTAAATAGAAAAAGACATGAAGGCAGTGGTGTTTTGTCCTTTAAAATTAAACTGGAAGTGATTTACAAGATGGGTTAAAGTGGTGACAGATTGGAAACTCTGCCGATTCCCCTGGCTTTTCCCCTGGAATTTTCCTTGCTGGTTTGTAAAATATCTTGTTTCTTTTTATAAGAGAGATTTAGCTCCAAATTTGGAAAATCTGACTTTCTTTAATGTCTTCCTAGTGTTTTAGTTAAAAAGAGATATCACAGAGAGCACGGGCAAGGCTTTACCTGGTAGTGTCTAGGTGGTAACAGGTATAGACTTTGATTCTCACACATTTATCAAATATTTGTTGAAGAGTTTTCCATTTGGTGATCACAGTGTTGAGCTCTGGGGAAACAAAGGAAGCCAGTCCCAGCCCACAAGGAGTTTACAATTTAAAGTAGCAAATGTGTAAAATTTATACTAATCATAGCACCAAATGAGAGTGTCTAGGCAGAATGCCCCCAGGAGTCTAGGGGAGGAAGTTCCTCGCTGCCAGAGAACGTTCGAGTTTCATGAAGAAAGCAACATTTGACTACCTCTACTTGAGTAGATAGATGTTTGGCTGGCTAAGAAGAGGAGAAAGAATATTTCAGGCAGAGGGCAGAGCAGGCACTGGCTTGGCCTTGAGGAAAAGCCTAGTGTGATTGGAGACTGTGAGATTTTATGGCTAGAGGGCAGGGCGTGCACTGTGTGGAGTGGCAGGACAAGAGTCTGCTGCACTGAGGGATCAGAGGGAAATTGTCAGAAGCCTGTGGACTGTGCCAAGGAGTCTGAATGCTATCCTACAGGCCACTGATCCTTAACATGGTATTCCTGTTGAACCTTTTAACATCTTCCTTTGCCATGCTTCCCTCTGTGTCTCTTGTTCAAATTCAGATTATCAGCCATGATAGGGAGAAAACAACAACCAAACCAACCTTGGGATCATCACCCATACAAACTAAACACTGTAATAGTCTTCCAAAGGGTCTCCCTGCCCTGGTCTTGCATCTGTCCACACTGCTGTCTGGATGATCTAAATTAGATCTAAGCCTGTTAATGGGCTGAATTATATTCTCTCCAAGTTCATATGTCGAAGTCACAACTTCCAGTACCTCAGAATATAGCTGTATTTGGAAGTAGAATCTTTAAAGAGGTGACTAAGTTAAAATGAGATTATTGGGGTGGGCCCTAATCCAATATAACTAATGTCCTAATAAGAAGAGGAGATTAAGACACAGATATGTACAGAGTAAAGACCATGTGAAGACACAGGGAGAAGATGGACATCTATAAGTCAAGGAGAGGCCTTGGAAGAAACAACCCTATCAATACCTTTATCTTGGACTTCCAGCCTCCAGAATTGTGATAAAATAAGTTTCTGTTATTAAACCAAACCAGTCTGTGGTACTTGGTTATGGTGGCCCTAGCAATTTAATATACTCTGTCACTTCCAATTTTGTGTAATATGAAGTCAAAACTTCTTAGCCCATGAAATAAAGTTCTTTGGAACCTCATCTCTCCAGAACCCTACACTCCTTCCACAGTAAGCTCTGCTCAAGTAAGCCACCAAGTTTATTGTTTCTTCAATAAAGCTTCTTCAGTCTAAAATGCCCTTCTGTCCTCACCCTGTTGATTACCTTGTCATATTTTAAGATTTGGATGAAGCATCTTTTTATTCTCTATTTCCCTACCGCTCTCTGCTGGCAACGAACTTTTATCTCAGAGTCTGTAACATTATTATTACTTTTTTTTTTTTTTTTTTTGAGATGGAGTTTCACTCTGTTGCCCAGGCTGGAGTGCAGTGGCACAATCACAGCTCATTGCAGCCTGGGCCTCCTTGGGCTCAGGTGACCCTCCCACTCCAGTCTCCCTAGTAGCTGGGACTATAGACGCGCACCACCATACCCAGCTAATTTTTATATTTTTTTTGCAGAGAAGGAGTTTTGCCATATTGCCCAGGCTGGTCTCAAACTCCTAGGCTCAAGTGATCTGCCTGCCTCGGTGTCTAAAAGTGCTAGGACTACAGGCACGAGCCATGGTACCTGGCCTCAGAGCCTATGACACTTTCATTCACCTTTTTTGTTATTGTTGTTTCCTCCTACTAAACATCTTGATAACAAAGACTATGAATATCTGTTATTATAGTTCCAGTTCCCATCTCAGTACCTGGCACATAAAAGGTATTCAGTAGGCCAGGTATGGTGGCTCACGCCTGTAATCCCAGCACTTTGAGAGGCCAAGGCAGGCAGATCACTAGGTCAGGAGTTCGAGACCGGCCTAGCCAACATAGTGAAACTCTGTCTCTACTAAAAATACAAAAATTAGCTGGGCGTGTTGGCGTGTGCCTGTAGTCCCAGCTACTCAGGAGGCTGAGGCAGGAGAATCACTTGAACCCGGGAGGCGGAGGTTGCAGTGACCCGAGATTGTGCCACTGCGCTCCAATCTGGGTGACAGAACAAGACTCCATCTCAAGAAAAAAAAAAAAAGAAAAGAAAAGAAAAGGTATTTAATAAATGTAAATTCTCTAGAAATGAATGTGCACAAAACCTAGATATCTAGAACTATGTGTTCTTGAAAGAAATTGGCTTATGTTTTGGAATAGTCTAGTGAATACCTACCACTACTGTGGTGCACACATTTTAGCAATCAGAATGTTCATATCTGCTGATTCCATATATCTCAGATATTTCTAAATAGCGTTAACATTTTAATCAAATAACCTTTCCTGTATACTACATGCAGATGCCTATTACAATACAATGTCTGCCTTCTTTCGTTATATTTCCAGCTCATTTAGTCAACACACATTTTCTTCATCCCTCTTCTGAGCCAGACAGAGTGCTAGATTCTGAGGGTAAAACAAAACAAAACAAAAATGACTAAAATACTGTCCCTATGTAAAGGAACTCACAGGTAGGTAGAAGGGACAGATAGGTAAAAACTTAAGAATTCTGCTGCAGTGTGATAAGTGTGACCATAGAGATGCGTTATGAAGTATTAATGGAGTAGTTTAATTAGATTAAAATATATATGTATCTTACATCTAAGTGTTTTCTGTGTCTTTTTGTAAAATAATTATTGTTTCTTGAAGTATGTATCGTCAGAAGATGACTTTTTCCTGACCTTATTCTCTTGCTCTTTAGGGACCTTATTGGAACTTCCTATGATTACACCCAATGCTTGTGTGAGAATTTCCAGAAGCCTCAATCCTGCTGTCATCCTTATTAAAGAATCACTTGGAGAGAAGATGCCTTTGGAGAACTTTAATCCCCTTCTTTCTTCACTTACCACCTCATATAAAGATAGGATTGACAGTCAATTTTACTCTAGTTCTGAGGCCTCGTAATATGTGAAGTGAAGGATATTGGGAAAGGGGAACCGTCACTGTTCTTTCTCATCTGTCCCCAACACTAGGCCCTGGAATGTGGCTACCCCATTCTTTGTGGGAAGGTAGCAATTTCCAGTAATTGGGAGTATCTCAGAGGAATCTAAAAGAATTGTGGTAGAGCTAGAAGAGTTGACAAGCTAATATAAACCACTAGCCAGTTCAGAACATAATTTAAATACCTATGTATTTGTTTAAATACTTCTAATTTTGTGTGTCTCTTATAGAATATTCTGTCTGTGTTATCTGTCTTTAAAAATGCCTGCAGTACAGATAAACACTCCCTGCCTGATTACCAGACCAAGTGGTTCGTGATTGTGTTTAATGATAGAAATACAGTGATACTGAAATGCAGCATAGATTTCTAATAATGACAGTTACCCAGTGAATGCATTCTCTTGGCTAATAGCCAGTTTAAATTATCTGGCCAAAATCTTATTTAGCATTTATTCAAAATATTTGATGCAAAAAATACAGGCTCTTTAAGAAAGTAATTTTAAAATAAAATTGTCATGTTACATTAAGTCATGTATCTCAAGCCAATGCTGTAATCAACTGACTATGAGGGAATTAAGCTAGTATTGCATGCAAGTCAAGTTACTGATCTAGCCAAAAAATAGAAACTAAATATTGAGATGATGTAGGGAGCCAGGCAGATATTCAGCCTGGAATTCAAACAGGAAAACAGGGTTTTCCAGGGACTTCAGAGGCCCAAGGCAGAAGAGTTAACAACGAGAACAGTAATATTGTTCAAAGTTGTGGTATGCCCTTTGTCATGTTATGTTTACTTACCTGTTTACCCATCTGTCCCTTCCACTAAACTATGAGTTCTATGAGGTCTGGAATTAGGTGTATTTGTAACTATACCCCCATGTACCTTTTGGAAGAAATAAAGAAAAAGGAAAGGAGGCCTGTAGTTAGTTCACAGGGGAACAACTGGGATTCATGGGTGCTTGAATATTTTAACATTATCAAACTAACCTGATAATGTAAGACTATGAATATGGTTAGAGAAGTCTTCCCTGACTTTCCTGTGTAGAATGGCTCCCCCAGTTTCTCATCACCTTCTTGTCATATGACAAGAATTAGGTGAAGTCACAGAGATACAAAGACGCCTAAGAGGATGGTTTTAAGGCAGTGGCAGATACAAAGCAGAGCTCTATCTGTAGCTGCTGGAAAAGGTTTATCTAGACTACCAGCTTCACGAATAGTCTCTCTCTCTTCATTTTTTTTATTTTAAAAAATATGGCTTTTAAATTTCCTTTTTTACTTCCTTTCTTTCTTTTTTTTTTTTCTTTAGACGGAGTCTTGCCGTGTCACCCAGTGCAGTGGGGGAATCTCAGCTCACTGCAACTTCCACCTCCTGGACTCAAGCAGTTCTCCTGCCTTAGCCTCCCGAGTAGCTGGGACTACAGATGTGTGCCACGAAGCGCAGCTAATTTATGTTTTTCCAGAAGAGACAAAGTTTCTCCATGTTGGCCAGGCTGAACTCCTGACCTCAAGTGATCTGCCCGTCTCAGCCTCCCAAAGTGCTGGGATTACAGGCGTGAGCCACCGTGCCTGGCCACTTCCTATTTCTTTTAAGGTATATTATCTCTTGTGTTTCTTTTCTCTGGTATTCCTTTTCATTTCATGTTTGTGTTGGAAATATTTTTCCTTTTATCTCTAATTCTTTGTCGTTTTGTCACCTCAATGCTGAGCTTTTCTGATTGCAACTTATGAGTTACCCAGTAAACACATTCTTCCACAAAACACCATTATTCAAAATCTTGAATAATTTTCTTAATGTTCTTAGACTTGTTTTAAAATGTGAAGTTACTGTTTTGAACTGTTTTGTGGGCACATCTTCCTGGCCTACATTCCTTGTCTGTAGATGTTTATTTGCTTCTTCTTTTTTTTTTTAATAATAATTGTATATGGGATTTTCTCTCCATACTCTCCTGGTGTTCAGTTCTATTTTTCCCAAAATTTTACAATGGGATGGAATGGAGGAAATCTTTTCTGACTTTAAGAAGCTCCCACTTCTGTTGTTTTTGCATAGTGGTCAAAGCGTCAGTGGCTTGCTTTCTGGGATTCCCTGACCCTAAGCCCTCTCTACTGGACCTTTACTTTTCTTTATCCCATTTGTCCCAGTGCCGCTTTGGATTGTTTGCAGCAGATTCTTCTCAGTGTGGGGCTGTGTCCCAGACGGGAGGGAGCAGCAGCGAGTCACAGGTTTTGGAGTTACAGGCAGGCTGGACTGCTCCGGTTCCTGCAGTCCACCAGCAGGAACACCACTCTGGCCAAGAGGACAATGTGCTCTCTCCTATCTGGCTGCTCTCAGCAGTGGCCCTCAAGCCCATGGCTGCTGAGGCTTCTGCTAGCACCTGCTCTCCCCTGCTGGCAGCGATCTCGGTCCTCAGCTTCATGGCTACCTTCTTCCTCCCGCACAGACCCTGACAATCTGTGACTGTTGGGGGGTTACCACCACCTGCTTGTATTTCGAGGTCCCCTAGCTTTATTGTAAATGTTGCTTAGGCATTTTGGCTTTGCTATCTAGTTGCTCTGTGTGTGTGTGTGTGTGTGTGGTGTGTAGGAATTCAGAGATTGACAACTTGGGCCACCACCATCTCCCCCAAATACCAGTCAACTGCTTTTAAAACTGGGACAAACTAGAAATGAACATTTATGACCTTCCAGAAAGGCTCTTTGAGTTAAAGAACAGTCCTAAATATTTATCAAATGTATTTCTCCTATGTCCCTATAAGCACCCACTATTCGGCCACTTATTGTTTTCCTAACCAGTTCAACTGTGTTCAGTTTACCCTCACCCCTCACTCACAGTTTAAGTAATCTTTCTAATATGCAAATATGACCATGTCACTTGTATTCCTACTGATTCAATCCTAAGTTCTTTGGCAAGGCATCCAAGGTGCCCATGACTGGGGTCTTTCTGCCTCTTTGCTCTGATGTCCCGTCACTTAGCCTTCAAACTCTGTACATTAATAATACTGGTCTGCTTGCAATCGTGTACATACATGATATTCTTTCAAGCCTCAGTGCTTCTGTGTCTTATTATGTCTGCCTGGATTGCATTTCCCACCTTTCTTCTTCTGGATAATTCTTACTGGACTTTCCAGGCTTCACTGCCCTTCTCTGAGTTCCCACAGCATCTTGTACTTATCTTTACTCTGTCATTTACCAAGTAAGATAGATGTAATATGCTAAAGTGTCCATCTCCTCTACTTGGCAGTAAAGTAGAGTCCATATCTTATTCATCCATCAAACACAGTACCTTATACATAGAGTTTTAATATATTCGCTGCTTCTTGTTTCTACCTGTCCTTTCTGAGTCATTTTACCTCTCCTGGTATTTCAGCTATGCCCCATTTCATCTACTGCCATGTTATATTAAAAGATATATCAGTGTCTTGATATATTGATATATATATTAAAATATGTATATCAGTGTCAGTGCTGATGAATCCCAAATTCCTTTTTCTGACTCAAGCACCTCATCTGAGCTCCAGATCATTTATTCAACTTATTCGGTAACATCTGCAATTTCATGTCTCCCAGGAATCCAAAATCAAGGTTCAGCCCTCCACTAGTGTTCCCTTTCTTGATTAATGGCACCCTGTTGATCATGCCAGAAGATAAAAGTCACTCTAACTCAATCTGTTTTTTTTTAATTGCCAAGCATCAGCTCTTGTCAATTCCACCTTCCAAGTTTATCTCAGATTTATTCTTTTCTCACCTTTTCCAGTCACTGCACCAGTTGAAGCCATATCATCTCTCACCTGAAGCCACTGCAAATAGATTCCTAACTATATCCCTGTATCCACTCTTGACTTTCTCTAATCAATTTACACACAATAGACAAAATTACCCTTTGAAAATGAAAACCTGATTATATTATCCTCTGCTTAAAACCAATCAATGGCCTTTTTGTTGTTCTTAGCATGAAACCTGAAAATCCTTAAATTGGCCTGTAAGTTTCTGTTCTTCCTTTTGTGCACGGGCTTTGTTTAATTTCCTTAAATTTAAACAGCTCCAATCATCCAGTTATGCTGTTTCTTCTGCCTAGATTCTCCTCTCTATCCTCCTTCATCCTCCTGGGGCAAACTCCTATTCTAGCTTTGAAACGGTAACAATTTCTCTTGTTTCCTTTATAGTTGTATTATTTGTTTGCATCCCTAAACAACATAGCTCCTTTTTGCTTGTTCGTGAACTTCACATAAATGAAAACACACTGTATCCATCCTTTTGTGACTTGGATTTTATGTTCAACATTATGTGTAAAGGATTCATTCATGTTGCTGAGTGTATTGTTTGTTCATTTTCACTGCTTTATAATATTTCACATTTCCACAAAATCTATTTTAGACTCGATGAAGTTTAGGGTTTCTAGTTTTGGGCTATACTGAGCTATGAACGATGATGTTATGAACCTTCTTGTACATATATTCTAGTCTACCTGTGCACCCATTTTTTCAGGTATATACCTATGAACTTTGGCGATTAATAACAAACTGCTTTCTAAAGTGGGCATTCAAGATTACACTCTTTCCAGGAGTATGTAAGAGTTATTGTTGCTGCATATCCTTGCTGACACTTTTTAATTCGTGGCAATCTGATGGAAGTATATGTTGCATACACTTTTTTATTGTAAATTGGTGATATATAAAATAATAATATGGTGATATATGGTCGATTAGTTCCAAAGATGATCACAACAATTCTTCTTACCTCAGTCTCCTTCTGCAACGTGAATCTGTAGCTTCTCCACTAAAAAGTAGAGTCTACTTCTCTTCCCCCTAAATATGGGCTGGCCCCATGACTTGCTTTGACTTCTAGGTCTGGGTCTTGAGAAGCCTGGCAGCTTCTAAGTTTATTTTCATGGAATCCAGCTGCCCTATAGATAAGTTCAGGCTAGACTACTGAATTATGACAGT